TCCCCCCCCCCCCCCCTCCCCAAACACACAACAGACACTGATATATGTATTGAAGTAACTGCCATGGCTGAACAATATAATAAATGCACATAGAAGTTATTTAAACATTTATGAGCTGGAAACTTGCACGAAACCTTCTGGTAAACATACGAGAGTAAGACACGTCGAGGGAGATTTTGTTATGGCGCTTCTAATTATTTAGCATTTCCAGTGGGACTAATTTTAAGGAACTTTTTCCACTATGTTAAAAAAACTTATTCTGTTCATTGTTGGGTCTTTTTCATTTATGTACTCCATCCAGGCAATTGGCCCTGAGCTGATCTTCTACAACACATCAAGGGAAGTAGGGGAATCTACAATCCTCCAGAACCAACTTTTGCATGCTCAACTAGATGTATATTGCAGGTAAATGTAGTTTCTCTACATTTATGGAAAACTTTATTTGGCTGAAGGAATTAAGGATAATACGAAAAATGCTAGTGCGTACTCATATACTATGCATATTCTTTTCCATTCAGAAATGTGTATATTGCATCATTATGGATTATTTTCTCAATTTCCCATTTTAGTTATGTTCTACATACTTATCATGGCCATAGGTTTCTTCTCAAAGGCGATACAACTGAATTTAGTGCAAATGCACTCGGACTGACCATGGAGAGTAATGGAATCAGGATTCTAGAGCCCTTTGATACCTCAGTAAATTATTCGAATGCTTCGGGAAAGACAAATATACATTTGTCTGTTTCAGATATATTTATGAACTTTTCATTCAGCATCTTGAGACTGTTTCTAGCTGTTGAAGAGGATATTGTGGCATTTCTAAGAATGACTTCGAAGAAAATGACAGTAGTATGCTCCCAGTTTGACAAAGTTGGAACAATCAAAAGTATGCCGTCACATTTTTATTTATGTTATTGTCTGTAGATGGAAAAATATCAAAAAATTTATTCTTCCAGCTCTTATCTTGGTTTTGCAGGTCCAAACAGTGATCAAGTATATTCATTTTGGAGGCCTAATGCTCCACCAGGTTTTGCAATTTTGGGTGACTATGTGACACCATCGTCAGTAATCTCTTTTATATGAAGTTCCCTTGGCATTATCTTTTCAGTTTGATTTTTGTATTGACATGAGCACTCATTACATGGCAGTGATAAACCACCAACGAAAGGAGTTCTTGCAGTTAACACCAGTTTTGCAAGGGTAAAGCGACCTATATCTTTCAGACTAATCTGGCCACCGGTAGCTTCTCAAGACAGTTATAATTATCACATGAACAATTATGATTCTTCACCTGGTGATGATATTCTAGGCCAGGAGGACTGCTTTTATTCCATTTGGTTTCCTGAAGCACCCAAAGGATATGTTGCACTTGGTTGTGTTGTCTCCAAAGGAATTACGAAACCGCCAGTGTCTGCTGTTTTCTGCATCGCCACTTCCTTAGTTTCTGGTTGTTCCTTGAGGGACTGCATAAGTATCAGCACCAGTGTACCGTATGTCAAATGTCAAACTAATGAATCTCTCTTTATGTTCATTTTGCATGGCACATAAATTTGTTGGTTTTCTATTTTTATTCGTATTTGGACATTGGTGGTTGTTTTGGATGTCTTACGTATGCAAGGAGCTGTATTCTGGACGGGTTTCTTCTTTAAGATATAAACTGGACTTCGCAATTCCAGATGCATTTGAACTATTCACTGAATTTTGATTTCTCATCTTGACTAAATTTAGGCATTTATTTTGTAAAACTATTTTTGATACAACGCTACTGGTAAGTTGCAGGTGCCGTTCAAATATTGCTTTATGGCGTGTGGACAATGCTGCTGGATCTTTTCTGCCAGCAGATCCAACAACCTTTAGAGTGAGAGGTACTGCGTATGAACTGCGTCGTACAATTTTTGGGTTTCCTGAAGTGTATCATCAAATGTCTAAGAGTTCAGATAGTCATGCTTCACCAAGTCAAACTGAAACCTCCCTTCCGAAGAAGTCACGTATTGTAACTTCTGGTCAGCATTTTGAGGCTGTTGCTGACTTTCAGTTGATATGGTGGAATCGAGGATCAAATTCCAAGAAGAAACTATCAATATGGCGTCCAGTTGTTCCTCAGGGGAAGATTTACTTTGGTGATGTTGTTATGAAAGGGTGTGTACTTTCCATTTTCTATTTTATTTCAGTATGTTTGAGTTTTAGTTTCTTGGTTAACTCTTGGTTGTCATCTGAACTCAGATTTGAGCGTCCAAATACATCTATAATTCTTAATCATACTGGAGATGAAGAGTTGCACAAGACCCCACTTGATTTCCAACTTGTAGGGCAAATCAAGAAGCAAAAAGGAATGGAAGATATATCCTTCTGGTTGCCACAAGCTCCTGCAGGGTTTGTTTCCTTGGGTTGTATTGCATGCAAATGTAAGCCTAAGCAACAAGACTTCAGTGCATTGGGATGTGTGCGAATGGATATGGTGGCATGGGATCAGTTCTTGGAGGAAAGTGCCTGGGATTTTTCAGATGCCAGGCTAATAACCGAGCCATTCAGCATATGGATAGTTGGTAATGAGTTAGGGACCTTCATTGTTCGGAGTGGGTCTAAGAGGCCTCAGAGGAGTTTCAATCTTAAGCTGGTGGATTCACATGTAACAAGTGGTTCAGATAACACTGTAATTGACGCAGAAGTGAGAACGTTTTCTATAGCAGTTTTTGATGACTATGCTGGTTTGGTAAGAAAACTACTCCACTTTGGTTTCATTTTAGTTTTATTAAATTACTTGAGAAGTAGTTATTTTGGCTATCTGGTTAATGAGCTTCAAATGAAGGGGAGCATTATGAGAGTCAATTTAGTGTCCTTGAACTTTTTTCTTATTTTGATTATTGTTCATATATGAATAAACAACACTTGTTAAATTATAAATCTTAAACTAGTATTTTTTGCATGCTGTTGACTCTTTTTTTTCGGGTCTCTTTTTACTTGAAATTTTTTTCTTATATATTCTTTTCTTTCTTGACAAGGAATCAAAAGAAAAAAACGTCAAGTAATACGAAAGAGAACCATAGGAAACACCCAGTAAGAACTAGGAGCAAAGAATTAAACCTCAAGTACCTGCTAATGAAATAAAAAGAATGTCCAAATGTCTAGCGAACTAATAAAGACGCAAGACTAGCCCTTACTAACAAAAGAATGAAAGCTCTTGTTTTTTTTTAAACCAGAGACAAAACTTTTGAGTCATGATTGAAAAGTAAGGCTACGAATTGTAGACAAAGAGAGCAAAATAAAAGGAAAAAACAGGAGAAAACATCCTGTGAAAAAGTCCTCTAGATTACATGTAGAATTTCAATATTCTGGTTGTAGATATTTCTGGTAGTAATTTATCGAATTACTTGGATCTAAAACTGAGCAACTCTAGATGTTGTTAGAGTAAAGGACTGTCAACAATCTAGTAATTACCATGGCAATGGTATTGTTCCACCTTATTTTTTGTTGTTTCATAATCCAAGCGATTAAGTTTTTTCTTCATGGAGTAGATGTAACACTAAAAAAGATGGATTTTTGTTCACAAAAAAAATCTTAGTTTCCTTTGCCTGTCCAGGATTTGACGGTGGACCTAAAACTCTTTTGCCTGAAATGGATAGATTTAATTATAAAAGTGTGGAGTACATGGACATCGGAATCAGCTCCTGTAGTGTTCCCTCATCTGGGAGTGTTGTGCAACATATTGTTCTTGTTTTAATTCTTCTTTGGCAGCCTTCATTCCTTGCCCTAATGACCAAACGTGTGCCGATTTATCACATACCTAGGAATTTTGTTTATGTGAAATTTTACCTTTTGGTCCTATACCTTGCTTTTTCTACCTTTTGGCCTACGAATTTTGATGACACTCTATTTCCTCATAGAACGTTGTCATCTTTCTTAATATTCTTTCTTTTAAATTTGAAATATAAACCCTCTTTTTATGCACATTTAGATGATTATAGTTAGAAATAGACTTCTTTTTGCAGGTAACTGAACCAAGTTTGACCTTTTTTATTGGTCTATTTGCATAATTTCTCTTCTTGATTTTGACAGATGGTTCCATTGTTCAATATATCGCTTAGCGGGTTGGGATTTAGCCTTCATGGAAGAAAAGGTTATTTAAATTCAGTTGTGAACTTCTTTTTAGCTGCCAGATCATATAATGATAAATACGAATCCTGGGAGCCACTTGTTGAACCGGTAGATGGATTTCTAAGGTAATTACCTTGGGATGCTTCTCTTTTTTCTTTTTTTCCTTGATTCTTTTTTTTCATTTGAGAAGGAAACGAAACTTTTCATTGATATAATGATAATAGACTGATGCTCAAACTACCAAATATCTATACGATACTAAATTACAATAGAAAGAGAATTCCAATTAAGACAATGGTCCTGAATAGTGTAATAAGCAAAGTGTTTGGAGAGAGTGCACCAAGAAGAAGCCTTCAAATGAACAGAACCAAAACGATTATTCCATGGAAGCAGCTTGTTGTGAAAGATCTTTTGGTTCCTTTCCAGCCAAATTTTTTATTAATGGCTTTCAATTCCTGTTTGTAGATAATGTATAAGAAACTAAGTATTTCTAATACTAAAGGAAATTAAAAGGGAAAGGATTAACCAAGGAATTACTCAAGATTAACCACGAATCCTACTGTAGCAATCCTATCCCTCCCAACTCATCCTCAAATTTTAAAAAGAAAGTTGAAGATAGAAGTATAAATGTAAATAGTTTGAATGGGAACACGATTCAGCTTCAGTCTTAGCTGGAAAAAAAACGCTGATCACCATGCTGCCTGAAATGAGAAACGATCATTCAACCACCAGCAGCTAGCCATGGAGAATGGGCCACTGTAATCTCCCAATTGGAATTGAATCCTCCCATATGAAGAAAAATTCTCGAAAGAACATGGAGAAGATTAATGTTGAGCTGGACTAAGAGTCTGTAATATGTAAATTCTTTCGGGAACAGGCCACATCAATTTTTGTAGAACAACGATTGGACTCGCATGCTGCTTGGGTTGAAGAGGCCAAATTTCTGTTAGATTGAGGTCAACTACACTTCACATAATATTTGCCACAAATGGTCAAATCTTCTATTTCTACGCTATCTCGTCTTCCTCTTTGTGTGTGCCCAAAAACCTTGCATTTACAACTCCACTTGCTTCATGTTTTCATTTTCAGTTTTTTCTTCTTCTTTGCGCTACTGGTCTTTTATGCTTAAGGTTTTGTCAGCCATTGTTTAACAATCATCCTTGCTCATGTTTTCTTCTTCCTGCACGACAATTTCTTTTCTTCTTTGCGTGAGTTTTCTTTTTCTTCGTGTGAGTTCTTTTGATTTTCTTGATTTTGTTTTGCGACTCATGAGCTCTTGGTTTCTGAAATCCCTTTTTTTTTCTTTTTTTTTTCTTTTTTTTTCAATTTTGCTCACATGATGCTCCATTCAGCTCTCTAACTGTTCCATAGCACATTGGATGTCAATCAACCTTTTACGAATCTCCTCCAACTTAAAGCATTCATCCTGATTTCCTCCAATTTTCACCTCTATCAGTTTCAGTTCACATTTGAAGGAAAAATCTCTTTGTAAAGTTCAAACATTGGTAGAATTATCATGCTGGAATTCCTTTTCCAAATCGCCGGGATTTTTCGAGTGCATGTATGATATTTTTATCTATATCAGTTTTCACGTCTTCCTGTGACCTTCTTTCTTAATTCAAAATACTCCTTTCTTGGAAGTTTCTTGAATAGGGTACTCTGAAAGGTATCCCCGTTGTAAATAGTTGTGTGCTATTGACTAATGAGCACAGCTCGTGAATCTCCCTCTTACTTTTGTCGTCAATCAAAGTTTCTTAGTCTTCCTTTGGCAGCAGCCAGCATTATCCCAGATGGTTGCTCTGATACTAAATTGGTATAGCCTAATAGAGAAAACGAGAACTCCCTCCAAGAATCTAGTCTCAGTCTCTATTAAAAATCAAAGGTATTAAAATACAATTGAGGAATTCTCTATTAATAAAGAATTTAAAACAAATTATTCCAAATACTAAGAGCAAACTAAAAAGAATTAGCCAAGGAATTATCCATGATTAAACACTAATCCTTCTGCGACATTTGGGCTCAAATCTTGACCTTTTTGTAAATCCTTTATTTCTTATCCAAAATAATTGGGTAGCCTTCTTTTATCTCCCCAGCCTTTGCTATCTTCAAATAAAATAGCCTTAGTTCATATAAACTAAAAATTAAAATTAAAAGAAAGAAAAGCCTGTCCATACAATTTTATTTCTTCAGGATGATGTCACATTCAGTAGTCTAAGTTTGCACATTTAAATGACTGACCTAATTTGGCTTCTTTCAGGTATCATTACGAGCAAAATTCCACTGGATCAGCTTCTCAGTTGCATCTTACCTCAGCTAGGGATTTAAATTTGAATATTTCAGCGTCTAATATCAATATGCTCATTCAAGCTTATACAAGCTGGATCAACCTCACGAATGTTCAGGAGCATAACAAAACAAAAGTAGTACATATGTTTCTTCTAATTATAATTTTAATATTAATAGCCTCTGTAGATCAAGATCGCATTCAATTAACATGCTATGTATTGACTAGCTGACCAATTCTTCCTTTTGTCCTGGGAATTGTCATGTAGGACTCGTTGTTTCCCACATCTGGTGGAAAAGGTATCGGTGATGTACAGGCCAAGAGAGACTATTTTATCATCCCTCAAAATAAACTTGGTCAGGACATTTACATCCGAGCTACTGAAATACGTGGTCTTCAAAATGTAATTCGGATGCCTTCAGGGGACATGAAGCCCTTAAAAGTTCCTGTTTCAAAGAACATGTTAGATTCCCACTTGGAAGGAAAACATTTTAAAAAAGATAGAAGAATGGTGACAATAATAATTTCTGGTGGACAGGTATGGCATAATTTTCATCAACTACTTTGTGAAGACTTTTTCATCCGGCATTTCCTTACATATTTTGCTTTCATTTATGGACAATTGTCTACACTTGATCATCTCTTACTTGGAAAAAAAACATTCGATACAGTTGCCAAAGGTTGAAGGACCAGCTGTTCACCAGTATACTGTAGCTATTCGTCTTACTCCCCTCCAAGGGGCTTTTGTTGAATTGCAACATCAACAGAGTGCACGCACATCCAGAAGTAGCTCAAACCACTCATTATCTGCTGAGGTTGACTTGGTCTTCTGGAACGAAATATTCTTTTTCAAAATTGAATCTCCGGTGGGTATTATAAGCTTATTCATTCAACATGTCTGCATTGGTTTATGCACTACCTTACATTAGCCACTTGTAATCACGACCATCTTTATTTTATGTGTTCACATTTACACCGGTAGCAATTATTTGTTATCTCAAGCTTTTTTTCTCACTTGTATGAGTTTTTTTTTTTTTTTTTTTTTTTTTTTTTTTTTTTTTTTTTTTTTTTTTTTTTTTTTTTTTTTTTTTTTTTTTTTTT